AGCCCTGTCTTCGGGGCAAGGGTCTCTCCTGTGAACACCAAAAACCCTGGCGTCATGCCAGTCATGGCAAAGATGCCAAGGGATGCAAGTGTTGTTGGTCTCCTGTCCACAGTGGGACCAGTCTCAGCCCCAACTGTCCAGATTGTTGTACCGGGGGCTTTGATGTTCCCATGCATTGCTTATGCATGCCTGCAATGCCACTAGTAACAACAACCTCTCAATGCAGGGCTGACATTTGGTATTGGCCCCATTAATGGCCTTGGTGACGTAAATGGCATTTTTGCATCTCTTAGGCAAAACCCATACAGCTTAAGGACCTGGACTTATTTTTCAGATGCTTTGAGGTACTTCTGTAATATATCATCATTGCAATCCTCATTTTAGCCTCTTCCTATTTAATTTTAAATAAAGGCAAAACCAAAACCACCCAGTGACCACCTTTGGAGATACCCCAGTGGATATGGTGATGCTCATGCAGAGCATCCCCAGGAACATACCCCAGCTGAGAGCGGTCAGAAGGAGAGCTCATGCCAGGTACAGCAACACTTGTATTTGGTTTTCCTTTGTATTATTTACACCTACCCACTATAAAGAATTCTGAAGTGCTAACGGTTTTCTTACAGCTATCCCCTCCCCATCCGCCTGCTGAAACCCAGGGGAATGAGCCAGGGGCTCAAATACACTCAGTGAAACCGTATAAATATAGAAGAGAGGAAGGGTGTTGCAAGGATCTGAAACTGGCAGGTACAGAATGAAGCTCAATTTAGACAGGCACAATCTGGAGTATGAAGGAAACTAGAGCCACCATTTACTTTTTCTACAAGCCAGAGAGAGATTTAATTACTTCAGAAATTTGGGCTTGCATGTTATCCAGAAAATGAAGTTTGGTTTATGTCTTAGTTTAATCTGAATGGCATATTTTTTATACTCTCAATGCTATATGAAGTACCCTCTCATCACGCAGTTTAGCTAAACTCTGTAGCTTAATGATGAAGAAAAATATCCAGTTAGTCATTTCGGGAAGAAGTCATACACTTTTTCTCTTGATCTCTGCTTTTAGACTGCTATAAATAAAAGTTCTGATGTAAAAATAATTTTTAAAAAAGAAAGGAGAAGAGAAGAAAGTTCAGCTACCCTATTCAATCAATACACAAAATGCAAAGATGACAGTTTAATGACTGAAGTGCGCCTGAGGATACTCTGCAACAAATTTTACAGCCATATGGGCTGCAGTGATGTTCTGCAGCTGGCTTATGTCTGCGTGTACCAGGAGCTGCTTTACATTTGTCTGCGCAATTAAGGTTTTAAAATAAACATAAACTTTGGCAGCCATGAAGTACCAACAAGACCTGAACACTTAGTTTCAATCTCTTCTTGGTAAAAACTCTAAATATCAAAATGACCAGCTGACTGTCTTCTACTTGTGACAGCAGAAGTCACTGCTAGAAGATGAAGTGTGTCCATAATCTATTTTTTCCCCTTCAGTTTAGAAAAGCATCTTGTTTCTTACAAAGCATCTTTTTAAAAAAATAAAAATAAAAAGATAATGTTTTAGAGGAAAATGGTTGCATGAGAATGTAAGTTCAGTGAAGCCCATTGATGTACGGCTTACCTTTCATAGCCAATCTCAAGACTTAGGCTTGAGGTCTGGTTATGGCAGCTTGACAAGTTAAAAAATCTTACCTGACTTGTCCATGACCATGACTGTAGACTGTAGTGCATGTGGAATAGGACACTTTAACTGAAAGCACTCTTAGGTAAGTCTGAAACAAGTCTTAGCACATTGCATTTTTTGCGCATGCAGCCAGCATCCTGCACCACAGCTCTGCTGGTGTCCAGCAGTGCAAGAGCAATGGCTAGATTTGAGCCTGAGCCCTTAGCAGGAGTTGCAAAGGACTTAAATGTATGATCTCTGAACCTTTGTTCCCCTTAGCCTCTCTTGCCTTTTCACCTGCCTTGCAGCCATTTTCCTCCTGAGGAGTCCCAGGGAAATCCCCTCGGACCCTTCACCGGTAGCCGAGCTGGCCCAGTGACTCCCATGACCAGAAAGAACGGGTGTTGCCCTTCCATACCTCTCTCCTGCTCTCTCCCCTGCTCCTTTTCCCTGCTCCCAGTCAGTCTCATTTTTGCATCCAGATCAGCATGGGGTGGGGGTGGAGGGTGGGGGGAAAGAGCTGAGGAGGCAGCTAAGGAAAATAAAAACCAAATAGATCAAATCTGTTTGAAATGCCTGAGGAATTAAAAAATTGTTAAAAGCAAGACAACTTAACTTTCCTGGAAAAACAGACTAAACAGCAATGCAGGGAACTATTGCACACAGGGAGAAAAAACATTCAAACTGGGCAAATACTTCTGGATGCTGTATTTCCTGGATTTTATTTGTTTATTTTTGTTACTACTGAGAGTGCTTCAGTCAAAAAACAAAAAAAAAAAGGGGGTGTGTGTGCATTTGTCTCCTAGCAAGTAACTTCTTTGTTCTGCCAGTGAGACTATGAGCATTTCCTAACCAAAGGCTTAAGTCAGTGGCCTGCAGGGTTAAAGAGACTGCAAGAAAATATCAGGAAAATTCAGAAGGAACATTTATAAATGTGACATCAAGGGCAGTTAATCAATTTGCCATTACTTAAAGTTGTTCCCTCAATTCTATGAAAAAAGAGAGTAATCTACTGCACTGGCACTTCATGGTTGTGAGTAATCAACATGTGCCTTCAACTCACATGAACCTTGAATGTTCTCGGTAGATGCAAATCCATCCTCATTTCTCTGCTTATTCAGCAGAGAGCAGACAAGGATATGGCTTAAAGAGAATCTGGACTTCTTCTGGTCAAGCTGCTTATAGGGGCATAAGAGAAAAAACATCTAAGACCTAAACACAGAATATGGTTTTTGTGCATTATTCCAGGATACTGCTGCCACTCCTGACACACGGACTTTCTCACCAGTGTGTCCCTCCCTGACCAGCCACCTCCACCATCCCTGCACAGTGCTGATGCCAAAAATGAGTCCTGAACTGCATGATGCTCACCAATTTAAGGACAGGGCTGACAAAGCACAGATGTTCCTCAGAGCTGAAAAACAGCTCCTGTCCAACCCGAGTTGTTGCACGACTGAGTTAATTCATATATTGCATATATCATTTATTTTTGTTTGGCTTTTGGAAATCCATATCCAAAGAAGAATTTTTATAGCCACCAACGGGCAGTTTGCCAGCAACTGCTTGTCCTGAAAATTTTCACCTGCTGGGGGTAGAGCAGTTTGCACTTTTGATGTAGGTCACTCTGCCCTTCCTGCCATGTGACAGTTGCCCCTTCTTCCCTGTTATAACCCAGTTGCAGATTTTTTTCCATCTCCCCTGAGACCCAGGGACTGTACCTGCTGTGTAGAAGCTCTGTTAAAAAATACCAAGGCCAGTTTTAAGAACTGTCTGAAACACACAGTGAATCTGGCCACACAGAATGGTTTCACTGGAGCTATTTTAGCACAGATCTTGAAAAAGCCTTCCAAACCTTGTGCAAATTTACTGCGTAGCAGTATAAATTATGTGCAGCTGCTGTCGCAATACAGTGATCACTATTTACCTCCTAGCTCAGTTACTATAAACATTTCCTGTACTTCAGCATGGGAAAAAATGTCTATATACAAAAGATCAAAGCTGGCCCTGTATCATCTCGTATCTGTTTTTCCCTACTCACAGAAATTATCCACGGCATCTTCCATGCTTGCAGTGGCTCCAGACACATTCCAGAGGGAGGGAGCCCAGTGAGCTGTGAGACCGAACTGCTCTGGGACAGGTGACCTTGAAGAGTTATCGAAGCTAGTAGTTTAAAATGTGACACTTCGGCCAATGAAACGAACAAACAAAAGTGTCAACATTTTAAGAATAGTTCTTATTAGCTTATTCTCCCGCTAGTGAAATTAGCAGGTCAAATGTTTGAGATATGGGCTTGAGACAGCATTATTCCTCAAGCAGAAGCCGTACAGTGCCAAGCGAAGCATGGACTTGTGAGTCTGTAACTTTACATGCCATGACGGCCGAGGGACCGTGCATCAGAAGCAGCTCTCAGCATCACTGTAGGGCAGGAGCTCCAGCAGCACCCAGCAAGGGCACCTGCTGCCCCTTGGCAGGACGCAGGTCAGACTTCTGCTTGTGCTAGCTCCAGCGCGAAATCAGTGCTGTGGTTTCACCTTCCTTGGTCATTGCAATGCTTCTAGCAGAAATGGAAGTGCGGCATCTCTGCTGCGGATGTATAAATGTGGACACGAGTGACCCGTGAGAAGGGAGATAGAAGGCCAAGTGCCTACATCAACAGCCGTGCAGCTGGCTCCAGCAACTCTAATACTAATGTGCATAGGGGTGCGCAGAGCCAAAAGCCCATCTGGGAGCTCAAGATTCAGAAAGTTCATGATATTCATTGACGGTCTACAAAACGCTCCTGGTCTAGTGGTGGGTGGTTTGTGAGCGGCATGAGGAGAAGCCAGGAGCTTCACATGTCCCACAGCTCTCCAAAAAGCATGGGAAGCCAATCTTTGCCCAGAGACACAAGTCACAGCAATGATGGAGATCTTATTTCAGAAAAATACCTCCAGCTGGTTTCAGCAGAGAGCAGAGCAGAACGTGGGGCAGGCCAGGATGGGAGGTTTGGAGAGTGCAGTGGCGCTGCATGGAACACCAATTCACCATGGGGCTGAAACCAGTTCTACAGGGTGGGGGAGACACAACGGCTGCTACCATGCAAACCATCACGTGGAGATCCAGGGGAGCCTCAGAGGTCCTGAGAAAGTACATTACCAGACTGCAGAGGTTCATATTACTTCAGCCTGAATCACTCAGCTCTTAACAACAATTTTCATCCCTGTTGTAGACAGGATGCTACAGAAATCAGCTCACTGACTCAAATGCTCTTCTACACCGAGTGGTGCATTTCATAACTATGGTGTGATAACTGAGGTTACCCTGGGAAGAACTGTAGCCTAGGAATCAATGAATACTGCAAGATGGTGACTTGAACTTATTTACATTGTTCTCTAAGTAACCTTCTGAATAGAATGATCAATGGTGTGACTCATCTCTTGGTAACTAGACAGATACGGATGTAAATAGTGATGTATGTCCGAGAATACTGAATTTAAGGTCCCTCTTCTAAAATTATTATCCCTTGTAGCTATGAGCAAGCCAAGGAAAAATCTGTCAAGTAGTTTATTTTTAATTTAATATAT